GATTTGGCAAAGGCTTTGCTTGAGTACAGTGGCCGAGCGTGGCCCAGGTATAGAGCGCTGAGCAGATTCCCGACTATAGCATTCATAAAAAGGCCTCCACTTCTCCGGAACCGATATTTTTTTGCATATGTGCCGCCTTGGCGACATAAGTCTGCTCCACAAACCGCCAAACTTTGGCCCTCTAATAATGGCAATTTTTGGATAACAGGACGAAAGTGATGAAAAATCTCTTCATGGGCGCATACGATGCGTTCACCAAACGTCTTAAGAGCTGTGTGAAGGCCGGAGGCAATTGCTTTGATAACCGTTGATATGTTTTGAATCATCAGCTTCCCTTAATATTATTCATTTTTAGAATTGATTCCTGAAGGTTAGTCCCGAAATGTGAACTAAATATTGTTGCATCTGTAAGTTTCCCCACTCTATATGCACTCATTCCCTGTGTTCTTGTTTATTACTTCCTTGTCTTGACCAGAACGAAACTACTCATGGAACCGTTCGAATTGCTCTCTAGGAAGCATCACTAAACTGTTCTGTAATCGCTAGTTGCCGGTTCTAGCTTAGTCTCCGCGGCATTCTATATATTTGAAGATGTCTTTTTTCATTATATTGTCGTATGTTCTCCATTTTGGTATGTGATCATTCTATTGCTTCACATGAGCAATTTAATGATGCGACGCGTACGAAAGAGCTCCGCAAACCCAAATGTCCAATTGGTACCCAAATTAAGTAGTGTTAAAACGTACTTGAATCCTAAAACTCTTCTGTATTAGATGAGCTTAGGTTTGTTATTTATCCGCTTATTTTCCGACCTCTATTTGTTCAATTTTCATTGTAGCATTTTTAGCGAACTAGCCGCCCTCCCGGCGAATCGGTTCTGCTTCGAATGCGGCCAGCGAGGTCCAACTTATGTGAATATCACTCATGGATCGTTTTGCTGTACCAGTTGTTCAGGAATTTTGTGAGTTGATTTTACTTTACTTTCGAAGAAACACAAATAATAAAAAATATAAAACTGTTGCATAATATTCAGCAGTGTTTATAATTCGTGACTTTACGCACACTTACCATTGATTTGTCGCGTGTTTTCGATAGACCCTTGTGTAGTTTATATTTGTGGTTTGTTTTTGTAGGAGAGGGCTGAATCCACCACATCGTGTTAAATCAATATGCATGGCATCATTCACAGCCGAAGAGATCGAACGACTTCGAAGCCTCGGAAATGAAGAGAACTCACATACTTGGTTAGGGCTATATTCTGGTACACCACCAAAAATGACGAACAAAGACGAGATCACATCATTTCTTATAAAGGTAAGTTTCTGTGATTCCTTCTCATGCTCATTCTCTACAGATCCATTTCTCATTTGAAGGCTATTTTGTTTCTACAGATTTGATTGATATAGTTCTCAGACTGCTGGCTTTTTTTTCAGAAGTACGAGAAGAAGGAATGGTATGTTTCGCGATCAGAGCTTGAAGAGCAGGAGAGACTTTTGAATCAAGCCAAGGAAGTTTCTAGTCAGTGTGGAACTAGCGTGAAAAGTGCTGGAAGTTCATCGTCGAAGGTAAGTATGACTTTTTAGGGAACAGTATTATTAAATGGGCAATTAAGGGTGGGATGAGTTATTGCGAGACATTCATTTGAGTGCACTAATGCTCCAATTATTGAGCGCCCTCGATTCGATTGAAATATTCTCTATGGGGTGGGAGTGGTTTCTACCAAGTTTCTCTGTTTTTTAAGGTTTCTCGGGTTTGCTCAACTTCCCGTAGCTATTACTGCTAGTGGATACAGGCTAATAAATCAAGTCATCACTTCGATGAAGAGGGAAGGCCAGAAAGGCATGCGTTTGGTTGTAGGGTAGGGCTGTGATCGTGAACGTTAGTCTGGAAGTATGCTATTAGGTCCCATATGCTGTCGCTTGATTGAACCACTAGGGGCGCGCGCACTAGATAGCGGGACGATCCTCCCAATGGGAATCAAAGGAAACCATTTGAGGAAAGGATAGATTTTGGTTCTTCTTGTATCCGAAATTCGCGATAACTGCACATACTGTACATGGTCTTATAGCTTGCATCTGTTTACATATTTCACTTCGGCAGCACCGCATTCATTTGTTTGGTTAGTAAGTCATGGTAATGGCCATAAATAGGACCTTCTACATCATATGTCTTATTGTTCTGCCTGAGCATTATATGACTTGCTTTTTACAAATTGAAGCCATCGGATTTGGATCTATTTGCCACCGATCCTTTCGCGGCCTTTGGTGCTCCAATGAATCGTCCTGCTCCTCAGCCTTTTCAAAACACCGGGCCACCGGATGGTCATGCGGTTAGTCTCAATTCTTTGTTCCGAGTTAGATTTTGCTGTTTTGCTTACAGCTTTTCTTTTTTTCTTATTTGTTGTCATTTTTGGTTGTTTTTGATTGATTCTTCCTTTTCGAATGGAAGTCCTTTTTAAAACGATTTTTACTTTTATAAATTTACTGTCTTTATAAGTGGTAATGTAAGTCGTACACCAGTGCCTTTTTCAATTTTAATCGTGTCTTTGTTCCACGTATTAGGGCCGTGCCATGCGTGGAGTAGGAAAACTCCGCAGCCGGGTCTGCCTTTTTCGGCCTCCTTTTCACGAAATATAGAAATGCGCCGTATGTTAAAAACAAATTGGTTGCAGTCTGGTTAACGATGAAGAGTAATGACTGTTAATATGTAGTAGTTATATTAGCGCTTTTTCCGACAAGGTGTAGGAACGGGGCATACAAGTGCTGAGCGCCATGACATTTGAAACAACGACAATTTTTTTTCAGTACAGAGGTTAAGAGACGTATTAGATGCCTGGTTCAGATAGCTATATTTCGACTCGCATGAGAATTTGGCTCGCTCTCCTGGAACGGCGTCTTCCCTTGTTTAATTTGAAATTCCTCCCGACCACTGATTACAGTAGTTTCTTTGCACCATCGGGCGCTAAACTCCGTACAACAAGAAGAGAAAAAATCACAGGAGATCGCTGGGTAGAGTAGTGCGTAGATAAAGCTTGCAGCTTCGTGGTTTAACGCGCGCAACTCGAGGAAAGCATGAATATCGAAAAAGACTCCCCTTTAATGCAAAATTGGCAGATCACACGAGCGCATATGCGCAACAGGCAATTAGTCCGGTGTCATTCATAGCTGGGAGAAGCGCCTAAATGTTGTAGCAGCTAAGGAGCAGCCGGTGGAGCAACAAGTTTCACGTGGCTAGTACGGATCGGCACCCTTTTTGTAAACACATTAAGCGTCAAAGTGGACTTCTACCCCCACAATTTCCTCTGGGGGATCTCATTCAGTCAGCAATATGTTTTCCTCAGAATGTGCGTTGCACAGTTTGTACGGCTAGCCCTTCAGATTACTGTGCTCTAGCCTCTAATAAGTATGACTGTCGCGGCGAGTGTAATGTAGGTCCAAGGGAGAAAAGCACGGAGAAAGGGCCATGAAGCAGCATGCGTCAGTCTGGCCACAAATTTTTGATGTACAAGTGAAGTTAACCCCGCGCATTTTCTTCAGAAGGCAGATATCTGCAAGCGGAGAATAGTACAGTTTTTCACATTTTCTGTTTTGTTAGTTGCCCGAATCGTGGATAAGTTTCACCATCAGATCGGCGATCCTTATGTTCGTTTACATGCCTACGTATCGGAGTATATCGTCGGGCGGCATGCGCAACAAGCTCATGAATTTTACGATTAACGTGAGCGTTGACTGTTCGTCGAAGTCGAATTGTTATCGATCACACCAGTGAAGCTCCGGGTCTTTCCTCTTTCGTACATGAAAAGCATGGCTCTCACAAATGCGCGTTGACACTTAACAACATGTTCATCTCCTCTGCCCAGTGTCAGATCCTGAAGAGTATTTTGAGGTCGTCCAAATTCGTGATTAATATTATTTTGTAGCTTTTAAATAAGATGTATTCGTAAATGCCAACTGAGTTGACTATTTAGGCCCACTCAATACCTGCGCAGCCGTTTTCTCCTCCTGCTTTCGTCGCACCGCCACCACCGCTTCCAAGTAAACCCCCTGTGCAGAATAGTTTCTCCACACAGGTACTTCGCTCAGGTATATGGATCTTACTGTTGATGTTACGATAATGTAAAATTTTCAAGGTGTCCGATCCATTTGCACCAGTTCCCGCTAAGAATTCAACAACAGATTTTGATCCTTTCGCAGATTTTGATGCGAAATTCAGCGAGCTCGCCCTAAAGAACTCGTCTACTGTTAGTGCTTTTGGATCGCCTTTACCAGGTATGCTGAGGTGTTGTGTACATTCCTTCTTAGTAGGTTTCATAACTCCACGAGGATGGTTTCTTTAGCTCAACCTCTCCCAAAGTCTGCCACAGTTGACACTTCTTTTCCTGCGCCTCATGCTACCACTACTGTTCCGCCTGTTAATCCATTCCAATCGCAAGTGTGTCATTACTTAATCTCACTAGCTTTGCTTGTTGCTTGATTCTTCAGCTCCACTGCCTTACTCTTTTTCAGGTACCAGAAGACATGCAAGCGTTCAACATTACAACTCGTTCAGAACATGTGCCTATTACCAGTAATACTGATAACGGTGACAAGTACAGTGCACTCGCTGAACTAGACCAGGTGAATTAGAAACGAGACGTCATATAAGAGCGATAAAAAATTTTTGTTCCAGATGTTCCACCACAGTGGTCATCCAAACGCTGCCGTGGGCGAGAAGCCAGCGTGGTTGCCCAGTGGTACGTCACTAGCTTCTATTTCCTTCCATCCCTCCGGCATCGGTGGAATGCGTTAGATTTATTCGGAAAAATAGTCATTGACTTATACATCGGTTGACCCCCATGGTGTACATGGATAAGGGAAAAAGTCGCTCTCCCTCCATATTCAAAGCGAACTAATTACACTTTGCTTAACTTAACCAGATGCACTTTACTGAGAATTAAAGAGCGCATTCCATTCTTTCAAAAAACGTCACAATATCCTTCCATACCTACGGCATCAGAGGAATTTGCCACAGAAACATGGTGTACTATTGAAGCTCAGCGAGGCGGCCATTACGACGTTATCCGAAGCGCTGCTCGGAAGGGGTCTTGCTCTGGGGGAATGAAAAGCTCACCGGCGGCGCGGACGCTTGCTGGTGACATCAAAATAACGTCACGCGGAAGGCTCAAAAAAGCGCGAGCAGTGCTCAGCGTCGCTGCCACTCTGCTCAAATAGTGCCGAGTTTTGGCACTATTCCAACTTGTTCAAATAGTTGTGCCGCGAAACGTGCCTCTAATTACAGGTACCATCCTCGCATAGGAATCGCATTATTTTGAGAATGTTGAGGAAGTCGAGGCTTCAATAGGCAATTCTTGGGAGTGTTCTTGAAGTTGGACTCCTACTTGCTTCTACTTGTTACTCAGTGAAGTGAAGTACCATTGTTCATCGGAGTACTCAGTGTGTTAAAGAACTGGT